GGATACGATGGGGACGCGCTGGCATCGACAGGTTGCCAGCCGGCGAGCGCGCGCCAGTGGTGCTCCAGTGGGGCGAGGCCCTCCCCCCCCACTGCGACGCTTGCGCTCAGCAGCAGGCAGCGCCCCCCCCCACCCGTTTATGCCGTGGTTCCATGCTGACCCGGTCATGGCGCTACCACAAGGACGCCTCGACAGCGGCCAGCTCGCCGCCCACTGTCGCTAGGGCCTAAAGTTGGGCGCCGCGAGGGCTCAGCTCCGCGGGCTACGTGACAGGTGAGTTCGGGAGCGTTCGATAGCCAGACCTCCGGTGCTACCTGATGTCTGGCTTCGCCAGGGTGTGGCCCTGCATGAGTGGATCAGCCTTCGGCAGTCTGTGGCCTACCCCCAGCAGATCAGTCTGCATCAGCCTCCGTCAGTACTTGCATCGTTTTGCCCCCGAACCACGAGATTCGGATACTTTGTGCATGCGCTGGCTACAGGCTCGGCTCTACCTCGCGGGCGCAGACCGGGGTCGCATCCTTGGCGAAGGACAGCCCCCAGCCACACCTGCGTCAGAGAGCCACGGCGAGTGAGGCCATTACTCTGCTCGCTGCCGTCTTTTCTTGGCGCTGCCGCGTGCCCTGGCTGGCGCGCGCACTTGCATCATTTGTTTCTCGCTCTGGCCTCGCTTCCATCAGGTATGCGGCCGGTGACCGGCGCCGCCATGGCGACTTCCCTGCCGTTCCAGTTCTGCCCCTGTGCTGGTCGCCGCGCTCGTCCCCACCCGTCGGGATGCTCGGCTGGCCCTCTGGTCGCGTTGAGCTGCTGGTGCCTGCCCTAAGGGCGGTCTCGGCGCCGACTCGCCGCCGGTCGCCGCGGTGGTTCCACCGCCGGGGCGTCTGCGCTGGCTTGAGCGGTCAAATTGGGTTATTTTGACCCTCGCACGCGCATATGCCACTGCGGCCAATTAGCTTCGTTCGCGCCCCGTTCGTTGTTGACTCGCTTCTTGACCTTTGCCTTGGAGCCGCCGACCAAAAAGTGTCCCCACCAGCCGGTTCGGTATTACCTTCCTCTCAGCGGCGGTCAGCTGCGACCCTGGATGCCCCTCGGGGAATGGCGGCCGTGCCCCCTGGCCAGGTGCACCTGGGATCCGTGCGACGTGCGGTGATGTCTGTCCCCACCGCCTCTCTCCTCGGGCCCCTCTCGGGCCAGGCTCTGACCTCGTCCACATCTTGGGGGCCCCTCCGCGTGGAGGGTCGGCGATGTCTGTCCCCGCCGCCCCTCCCCACGGGTCTCCCCCAGGCGGAGTCGAACGCCCCCGCCCCCCAGGGCTGCCCGGGGCCCCAGCTGATAGCGGTAACTTTACTTCACCTTCAGCGGCGGTTAGCTGCGACCCTGGACGCCCGCGGGGATGAAGGGTTCGAAGGAGACCCTGGACCTCTGCGGGGAATGTCGGATTCGGCGGATCAGGCAGTCCCACGGTGGCCTTCGGCGCGCATCAGGCGGCAGCTGCCGTGCAGTTCCACCCCGGGCCCCCCACCTTGCTGGCGATGTCCCTTCCCGCCAGCTTGGCCGGATGTCTGTTGGGGGCCCCTCCGCGCGGGGGGTCGGCGATGTCTGTCCCCACCGCCCCTCCCCCCGGGTCTCCCCCAGGCTGGGCTGCCGACGGGCTTGTATCTTGGTCTCGGAGGCGTTCGTCCCCGCACCCCTGGGCTGCCCAGGACCCCCGCTGACAGCGGTAACTTTAACTCACCTTCAGCAGCGGTTAGCTGCGACCCTGGACGCCCGCGTGGAATGACGGGTTCGAAGGAGACCCTGGTTCCCTGCGGGGAATGACGGATTCGGCGGGTCAGGCAGTCCCACGGTGGCCTTCGGCGTGCATCGGGCGGCAGCTGCCGTGCAGTTCCACCCCGGACGCTCCACCTTGTTGGCGATGTTCTCTCCCGCCAGCTTGGCCTCGCGCGGCGCTTCAGCCGGCGCCCGCGCAGCTGTGCTTGGGTGGCCCCCTGCAGGTTCGGTGGCTCCTCCTGTTGCGCGGATTCGCGGCCCCTGGAGGCCCCCGCTTCGAGCGGTTCAGCCCTCGCCGCCGCGGCCGCCCCCCGGGCCCGTCCCGACCCCAGCCTGGTATTCGACGTTCCTCGGCGGAGCAGCTTAGCTGGCTCGCGCACGCCGTTGGCGCGCCCTGGGCTTGGCGCCCCACTGGCGACGGCCCATCGCTTACCACGTCTGGACACTCCGACGGCATGTTGGACACGCAGCCCACAGCTATCGTCCTCACGCTCCTTCGGGTTTTGCCACTCGGCACATCTTGAATGGTCTGACACCGCAGCGCGTAAGACCGAATTCCCTGGCATTTTGCTCTGGGCTGCACGCTGCTCGAGCTTCCCTGGGCATTCCAGATCAGCCAGCCAGCCCCCGCCCTGCTGCCCCAGCTGCCGCCTTGTGAGCTGGCCCGGCCGGTCTGTGTCGCGCTCAGTAGCTAATTAGGCTTGCCCGTCGGCCCGGACACCCTGCTCGCCGCCTGCGCTCTCCGCTGGTGGCCGCGACCAGAAAAAGTATCCCCACCAGCTAGGTTCGGCCGTCGGTCCCCGTGCGCTAGGCAATTAGGTTCGCGCGTAGCCCGCCCGACCTCTGACGCTGTTGGCGCGCTCGCCTGCGGCCGCGACAAAATTGTATCCCCACCAGCCCTTCCGTGCCGGCACATCGGTCGATTGAGTCCGGCTTCCACCCGAGCACGGTTGACTTGTGCGGGCTACGATGCTCGCTGAGGGCCACCCCGTCGTCGAGTGCGCACTGGCTGGTGGGCGCCCCCCGGGCAACGAGTCTTGCGCTCGTCGACGTCCGGCCTCCAGCCCACGCGCGTGTGAAGGCTGGCAGCGACACGCACGGACTTTCACGACAGTTGTCGGATGGCGGAGACCTCCGTTTCGGTTTCCGCTTGCTTCTTCGCTACGCGCATGGCAAGCACATGCAAGACGTCTGTCTTGGCTCTCCACACTGAAACTAGCGCCTCAATTCGTCATCATTTTGATGTACATCGAGGCCCCGTTCTTGGTCCTCCTCGGCTTGGCGGGCCTTTGAGCTAGTCCAGCTCCGCCGCCTGTGCGACTGCGTAGCGCGCTCCGGTCGCTTTGGTTTTTTTATGCTGTAATTTAGGTCGCTGCTAGTTGGCAATATCCTGACGGCGCGCGGCTTCCCCGCTTGCGCTCGCGAGCGGAAAGTATCCCCACCAACCCTGCTCGATCTTGTTTTTTGCTTTTCGCCTTCCTCTTCCGCTGCGCTAAATTTAGATCGCTGCTCGTGTGCAATATCTTGGACGCCGCCCGACTTTTCCTCGCCGCGGTCGCGATCAAAAAGTAACCCCACCAGCCCATTCAGAAACCCTGCCCGCGAGAGCTGACGGGAAAAAGAAAAGAAGGGACACATCTAGGGAAACAAAGCGAGCAACCAGGATGAACCGAGAGATCTCTTGAAGCAAGGGGGGTGGCCTTGGCAGGCCTCCTCGGGCCATCCCTGGGGGCCGCGTGGGGGCGAGGGGAAGAGGAGGAGGAGGAAGAGGGGGAGGCGGAGTGTTTCCGCTTCATGTCTTCGTCATTATCCCTCACACCACCTGTCGCCCAAAGGGCTGGTGGGGTTTCTCAACAATCAACTGGTGCTGCTGCTCCTGCTGCTGATGGTGCTCCTGATGTCGTTGCTGCCTCAGCTGGTGTTGCGGCTGGTGCCCTGGAAGGTCTGTTGGGGCCATCTAGGAGAGCATCGATCAAACAATGGGGGGTCCTCGATTTCGGCCCCTTCCCAGGAGCCGTCAAAATCGCCTTTTGGAGCTCTCCTGGGGCTCTTTGGGAAGGTATTGTAGCTCTCTTGGGGTTCTTTTAGGGGTCTTGTGGCCCTCTTGGAGCCCTCTTGGGGCTCTCTTGGGGGCCTCCTGGGGGCCCTGGAAGGCCTTTTGGGGCCATCTTGAAGGCCATCGACCAATGGAGGAGATGGCATAACGTTCAGCCCCCCCCCCAAAAAAAAGAGAGGCCAAATCGGTGCCAAAACCTTGGTACAACCAGTAATGTTGGCGCCCAGGGGGGCTGGTGAGATAGCGTTCAGCCTCCCCCCAAAAGAGGCCACCATGGGCCAGAACCTTAGTAAGACCAAGGCTTTTGGCGCCCAGAGGGCTGGTGGGATAAAGTCCAGCCCCCCCCCCCAAAAAAAAATGAGAGAGGCCAACACGGGGCCAACACCTGAGTAAAACCAGTGATTGTGGCTTCCTCGCTGAGGCCGTTTTGGACGCCCTGACACCTCGTGGACCTCCAAAAACAAATCCAGGGGAGGGGTAAGGGGAGAGGTAAACCCCTACCCGTAGGGGAAGAGGGGTTTAGTGGAAGAGGGAAGAGGAATCTCGTTGGACCACCTGCGCCCAGAGGGCTGGTGGAATTCGGAAGGAAAACGACAGATGCTCTGGACGTCGTCGTCCCCCTCTCGGAGAGGATGAGGAGGACGAGAAGGAGGGTACGGGAAGGAATGACATGACGAGGACCAGGGAGAAGGATCTACGTCCGCCTCCGAAGCACGCTTGATCTGGGATGGATTCAATCGCCTGTCGTACGACGATTCTGTGGGTAAGTACCCCGTCGGCCCCGCGCGTCGTGACTTCTTCGTCGCGCCGCGCTGGTAAAGTGCTGGCTATCTGCGCACAGGTTGAGGAAGCACTCGTTGGCAGTCGCGCACGGGGCCCAACCCAGACCACTGGCGGCTCGAAGGAACAGTCGCGTCGGAGGTGATCTTTTCAAACTCGTCGAGCAGACGCTGCTTCCTGGCCCCAGGGCCGTCAAGCAGAAAAAACATGCATGATGCACGGCCAGTCTCGAGTAAGGCGTCGCCGCCGCCGCTGTGACATGAGTCGCCTTGGCTTTCGCCGCTGTCCATTGCTTTTGTCTCTGCCATGTGCTCGGGCCTGTTCCATGTTGATGTATTGCCCGTCTCATGTTTCTGCGCCTGGTGATCTGTTGAAGCTTCTCAGCTCCCGGCGTGAGGAAGCGTGGCGTCCGCACCTATGCGGTCAGCGCAGAGACACCGTTGAAGGTTGAGACATCGTTCGGGAACGACGTCAACTCCGGCAGAGCGAACGCCCATGAGTTGTTCATCATTCCCGAGGAGCTCTTTCGGGCTTGCACCGCCGAGCAATACATTGCATATTTCCTAACTGTCGGAGGGCGACACTGATTTCTTGGGACTGCGCTGGGCCCCCTGGCGGCGCCTCCGGCGCCGCCTGTGGCGCGCTTCGCGCCGCAGCGGAGGGTAGGTCCAGCGCCGACCCGGGAAATATGCGCAGACCTCCGAAAGTTGATGTGTGTATGTGTTTGTTCTTCTAGTGCATTGGGGCAGTCATGTTTGTTGGTGGCTGCCTATCCTCTCCTGGGCAGGTTTCCTGCGCTCATCCATGCTGCAAACACACACGTCTTTGCAACTTGTGACTGTCGATGGGGAAGGAGAGACGTGGGAGGGAGAAAGGAGGAGGATGGGAAGGGCGCAGAGGAGGATGATACTGGGCTCTATGCGTCTGCCTCTGCGCTTCCATCGCTTGCCCGTCTACTCCACCCATCCATCTCGACCAGATGCTCTGATGCTGGTATCTTCTGCCGGGAGCCCTCCCTGGGGGCTCCGTGGGGCTCTGGGAGGTCACCGGCGGATTGCGCACTATAGCTCAACTGCCTTGGGCTAGTGCGGCCCCGGCGCTGGCGGCCCGCAGCGGAGCGGCGACGCCCCGCGGCAGCGCCACACGGCCAGCCCGCAGCCGAGCTCGGCGAGGTGCTCTGCTCGCCGGGGGGGCCCTGCGGCCAGACCCAGCGCGCCCACCGACGGAATTCGCGCCCCCACCGCCCTCCTCCTTCTCGAGGACGGCCGGCAGCAGCTCTGCACCCGCGGACAACGCGTGTGTGTCTGTGCGTTGCCGATCAGCAGCTGCCAGGCCTGGGCGGCGGGCGCGGGCCCGCGCGGCGCTGGCGTCGGCCGACGTCGCCTCCGCGACCGACACGTCTCTATACAAGGGCCCGGGGCCTGCGGGGTCTCTGGGCACGACCACATGGAGCACCGCCCGTGCCAGGCCGTCTGCGCCCGGGCGGTCCCACCGGGGCACGCGCTGTTCTGCGAGGGTCTCAGAGTCCACGTGCTCGCGGCACCATTCGGCGAGGCCGCCGCGGCAGTAATTGTGGCGCCGCGAGAAGCCAGGCCCCTCCTCGCAGCAGACGGCATGGCTTCCCCCAGCGGTGCCGCGTAGTGCACCCGCAGGCTCGGCGAGCTCCGCGAGCCCGGAGCATGCACGGCACCGCCCCCTGCGCGGCCGGATCCTCGAAGAGGAGGCGCCGCCGCAGGCAGACGCAAAACGCGTCGTCCGACAACACGTCCTTGTCGCGACGCGTCGCTTGGAGCCACGCTCCGCCTTCTGCTGCCTGCGAATGGAGGAGCGTTGCTGCGTCGTCTTCCAACCCCTCTCTGAGGTCCTGGTTCCGCCTGGCCACCAGGGACTGGGAGATGGCTTCCTGGGTCCGCACGGCCACCGACCCGCCCGCCGCCTGCACGCGCTCCGTGGCCGCGCGCACGGCTTGGTGCAACAACGGGGCGGCCTGCTCAGACTGCGCCGGCGTCTCAACGCGCTGCAGGCGGTATACCACGGCCCCTACCTGGGCCCAGGAGCCGAGGAAGGCAGCGTCCGTCCGAGACTCCGCGCTCGCCAGGCCGCCACCGCCGAGCTTGGCGGGCACGAAGAGGACCTTGCGCGAGAGGTCAGACAGTGGCCCGCCTAGCCAGTTCTCCTCCACCGCGGCGACCTGGTCGCCATAACGCCGCCACTGCTGAGGGTCGCCGGCCTGGGCTCGTTGAGCGTAGGTGACCACGAAGTTGGCGAACATTACCCAAGCGTCGTGCTTAGCCAAGCCATGGTGGATGAGCGTGTCCAAGCGGGCGGCGAAGGCAGCAAGCAGGGTCTGGGCGCGATCCACCTGGGCAGACCCCTGCGCTCCAGCAGGTACGTCGCGCCAGTCGTCTCCCTCCACCTGGAGATGCCGGTTCCGCATGAACAATATCGAGCTCCCGAGGCAGGGCAGCTCTGGAACGACGCGCTGCAGCAGGGCGGCGGCGGCGCTGTACCTCCTCCTCCTCCTCCTCTTCCTCCTCCTCCTCCTCCTCCTCCTCCTCCCTTTCCCCCTCCTCCACCTCCCCACCTCTCCTCCTCCTCCTCCCTCCTCCTCCTCCTCCTCCTTCTCCTCCTCCTCCTCCTCCTCCTCCTCCTCCTCCTCCTCCTCCTCCTCCTCCTCCTCCCTCCTCCTCCTCCTCCTTCTCCTCCTCCTCCTCCTCCTCCTCCTCCTCCTCCCCCTCCTCCTCCTCCTCCACCTCCTCCTCCTCCTCTTCCTTTTCGGGTCGCCTACGGCCCTGGGGAAAACCGTACAACCCCGCGACCCTTTTTATGTCCCAGTGGGTCCGCAGAGCCCTGCAGCACCTCACAAAGCCCAGGGTCGACGAACGATGCTCCCCTAGATCTCCATTCGCAGGACTTCTTATCGAGCGTGCCCAGTGTGTACAGAATGGCAGGGCCCAGGTGGGCCCTGGCCAAGCAAAGCGGTGCGGGGGCGGGCGCGGGGTGTCTGGGCCCCCGCGGCCAGGTGCGGGGCGGTCCGCGCCGGCAAGGAGCGGGAGGTGGCAGAGGCAGGATGAGGTCGGAGTGAAGGGCAGCGGTGGCTTCGGGCCTCCGCGGGGTGAGGGCGGGAGCGGCGGAGCAGAGGGGGTAGTCCGAGGCGGGGATTTCTCAACGGCCACCCCCTGGGGTGTCGGGGGGCCTGGGCGGCCGGCGGACAGTGGCTATACGATATATCCCCGTGCCACCTGGGGGGCCAAACATGCCCATGTCCACCGCCCGCTGGGGCACCGTGACGTCGGTTCCCCAGGCGGTGGATGCGGTGGTGCCCCCCCTTCCTCGCAGGGGAGGGAGGGAGGGGAGCGGGGCAGAGCGGAGGGGGAGAGGAGCGCAGAGAGCAGAGCGGGGAGGGAGGGAAGGGGGAGGCGGAGGGGCTCCCGCCGCATCGGGGGGGGGCACGCGAGGTAGACGCGTTCTCGAGGCCGCCCACGGAGGTGCAGGCCTCGGGGGCCGCCGGGGGGCGGGCTTGCTGCTGCAGCGGCTGGCCTGCGCTTGCTGCTCCCGGTTCCCCATGTCGATGTTGACGGCTCTGTCGTCGGGCCTATTCTTGTCATGGCCCCACCTCTACCTCCGACGCTCTCTCGTTCGCTCGCTCTCTCTCTCTCTCTTTCTCTTTCTCGCGCGCTCTCTCTCTCTCTCTTTCTCTATCTCTCTTGTGTTTTGTTATATATATATATATGTATCCCTCTCTCTCTCTTCATGCGTCGGTGTATACTGCATGGCATCTAGCGGTGCGTGCATCAATGCATACATTCCAGCAGACGTATACATATATACAACAGATGTGGCTGACTTCAAATGTATGGCTCCAGCTGCACATGTACTTACAAGTCTCGATGTACATGTGTATATGTGTATCTGTATACATCACTACGCAAGCACATCTGCATGCTCACACCCGCACTCGTATGTGCGTACCCCTGTATGCACGCATCCACGCTCAGAGCACAACATGGTCCTTATAGGCGATCAAGGCGATCCAGACTGGCCCGAGCAGGGCTTCAAGGTAGCCGTCATGGCTCTCCAGATGGGCCCCGGAGGGCACAGGATGGCCACAAGAAAGCTCAAGGTGTCTCCAAGACGGCCGCAGCGGGCCCCGAGAATGCGCAGACGTCCCGAAACCTGCCGAGGGTGTCCCCAAAGGCCCAACGAGGAGGCCCAGACGACCCCCGGCGGCCGCCGGGACGGCCCGGGAGAGCCTTCAAGTCAACCCCATGACAGGCCACGAGCGGTTCTCAGAGCCTGAAGAAGGAGAGGGGGGGCGAATGAGATGGAGGCGGAGGAGGAAGGTTGATAAAAAGGAGGAGGAAGAGGAGGAGGAGGTAGAACGGATGAGGGGGCAGATGCAAAGAATAAGAAAACGAAGAGGAAGAAACAGAAGAAGAAGGGGTGGCCCCAGCAGGGGGGGAGGGGGGGGCAACGCGGTCAGACCGCGGAGTCCCAAA